TATCGTCATAGGATGCTAGTGAAGTGCGGATTCGTATTCAAGTACCGATTGTCAATCCCTGAGACTAACTACAATAATCGTGAAAGTTAAATCTATAAAAATAAAATCAGTCCAAATATGGTTAAAGGAGCATTAGGTAAATTAAGATAAAGAGTTGGCTGTTCTCGTTATAATAGTTAAAAAATAGATAACATAAATAGAATATGCTGAAAATTTCAGTCAAATTGTTCTACTCTCTGAACCGAGATATTAGCGGTTCAAATCAGTGATGGGATTTCAAAATTTTAGTTGTCGGACATTTTCTTCCCGAAAATAAAGGGACATAACTCTTATCGTTATTTAAGCAGGCGTTTTCAAACCACAATTAAGAATCACATGTCAACAAAATATTCAAATTCATCTTTAATAAAAAAAAATAGTTGCACCTTGTTATTTTTCATATTTAATTCCTGTACGGTATTCAAATTTATGTCAATAATATTCCTACAAAATTACATGACATCATAATACCATAGAATGAAAGCGTGCCGACTACTGCCCATCCGTACCGGTTTCAAATTCCCCCAAAATTACCGTATTTTTCGGGTCATAAGTCGATATATTTTTCAGCAAAGTCTGGCATTAGTCTTATACTCCGTTTCGATTTATATACGGAAGGTAAAAAAATGAATGACATCCCAAAATTAATTTGGCCATAAACCGTAGTAAACGTCGTTCTAATACAACGAGCGAGTGACACCAACTGCTAAATAATCCCATTCCACTCTAAGCACGCGCTGTCGTCTAAAACAATTACTGTAACTACTTACGTTATTCCAATCGAAATATTCGTCAACATTTCTTAGCGTGTTCATTTATTTATCTAAAAACATAAACCCCATTCAAAATATGATCATAAATCCAACAATATGCCATCAAAATAGAATCTTTTCTCCGGACATAAGACATATTAGATTCGGCACGTTTACACCTCTTAATTCCATGTGTCTCGCGAGATTTCTACTTTCATTTTGCGTGTGTGAGATATAGCTTTATTTAACTTCGGTTTCACAGACAAGTTATCGGACACAATGTATATTGATTTGGGGTGTTATATACTATTAGGATATGTAACATATTACTAATGTCTACGGTCGACATCAAGGAGATTAAAATGTGAGACAATGGAGAAATCACAGGTTAATCTGACTTCTGTTCAGGATTGAATTGATGAATTGTCCGACAAAGAATTAAGTCAGCCAATAAGCATCCTCTCTAGAAGTCATAACCATACATTCACCAATAATAATTAAATGTAATAATAATAAAAGGATACGTAATATTTCTGGCACGCCCGTATCTAAACATTCTCGTATTAACTGGATTTCAGCGTTTAATCCTGGTTGTTGAAATAAATCCTCCTGAAATAGTAACAATATTTAAATGATAAAGGGAAACAACTCTAATTAGATAACAATACATGAGGATGCAGACCAATATTTAAATGATAAAGGTTGCGCGTTGTATCATAAAGTCTGTCATTGAGTCAACTGGTGTGGTTTCAATTCCCCGGTTGTACCTGACAAGGAGTAGGGTTGCATGTCCAACCTCGTGGGTTTTCTCTGGGTCTACCAGTTTCCTCCCATTGCTGAAGACTCCTACGCACAAGCAAATTATTGAAATAAAATTGAACCATATGTTGATCCCGAAATGACCTAGTTTGTGTCAAGCAAGCTCTCTCTGTCTCTCCCTTTGTCTTATAAACCATCCGAAATGACCTAGTTTGTGTCAAGCAAGCTCTCTCTGTCTCTCCCTTTGTCTTATAAACCATCCGAAATGACCTAGTTTGTGTCAAGTATAAACCATCCGAAATGACCTAGTTTGTGTCAAGTAAGCTCTCTCTGTCTCTCCCTTTGTCTTATAAACCATCCGAAATATATATTTTAATCCCCTTAGGCATTAAATCTAAGTTATAGTATATTATATACTAGCATACAGGAGAATATAGAAGAGCGAGGAAACTTGAATACCCACAACTCAAGATTGAAGCCTTGACTTGCATAGATAACAGGTGGCACATGTTAGACCTCCCTCAACTCCTCCCAATATTTTACATGTTAGACCTCCTTCCCCAGTATATTATATTACAGGTAAGCCTTCTCCCATCCCCAAGTATATTATATTACAGGTAAGACCCCCCCCACTCTTAGTGTATTAGAATACAGGTCAGACACGCACCCACCTACCCACGCCCAGAATAATATAATACAGGTAAGCCCCCCCCTCTCAGTGTATTATAATACAGGTAAGGGCACCCCACCTTCCACTCTCAGTGTATTATACTACAGGTGAGGGACACCCCCCCCCACTCTCCACTCTTAGTGTATTATTATACAGGTAACTCAACACCCCACGTCTCCCCTCATATATTTTTAAATATAGGTATGCCTCACCTCTTTAATTCCATGTGAATAGATATGATTTACCATTCTGTATATTTCTTTAGGTACCATATATAGTCTACCACCTGTAAACGCTACATCTAGATTATCTAAACTACCTGGTCGTTCCTGTTAAAATATATATTTCACCATTATCAAACAGGTGCTTTCTGAACATTATCAATCTGAATATTATAATTGGAAGGCTAAAACTATGTTGACATTTACTTAGACCACACAAATTAAAATTGTTCTTCTATTTCTAGTTGTCCCATGACAATCAACTCTTTTTAGGTATAGTTCATTTCCAACAAATATCCTCTCATCGTCGCAGTATAACAAATTTTCGACTTCAACAGAATTATCAGTAAGCCGAAAAATCAACCATGTATATGTTATCATGCTCTACTTCAATAGTATGGATAACTTGTGTTTTCCCTTTTTTGTGCCACTTCCTGATTCCTTGCGCCACTTCCTGATTCTTAAAATCTTTGTTACGAATCAACAAAGGATTTTTATTTTCAGGCAATGAAAAGGATGAATCTTTAAACAAGGTGTGCACAAATCAGAACACTTAAAATTCCAGGAGTTTTCCAGGACTTAATTACCAGAAGTCTTTTACCAGAAGTTATCTATACAGTCAATGTATAGAATTCTACATCATAATGTATTTTTTATGCTTGACTTGAAGAACAAGTCCATTTACGGCCATGAACTCGTGAACTTTTGAAGAAACATTCAATGACTACCTTTAGTATTATATCTTAAAATATATAGCGAAACCAGAAATGTTAATTTTCCAGGAGTTTCAAGGAGTAATCTTGTTTTTCCAGGATTTTCCAGTACTGGAAATCACATTTTCATTTTTCAAGGAGTGTGCGAACCTTGTTAAATGAAATGAAATGGAGTTTAACGTCCTACTGTTTGAACCATGTTAAACTATACTTACTATTTCAACTAGTTTAGGTACTTGTAATTCTCGTATTGGTCCGTGCATCTGTATTAAAGCTTCTATAGACGAACCAAACGAACTAGGTAGATAATTACCAGCTACAGGTACTTGATATAAGTTAACGACAAACTAAACACAGTTTTATATTCACAGTTAGGGTTGGGTGATAATGAAAAAAAAATATCGTGATAATAACAAAACTGACACAGTTCTATGGGACAACAATCACTGGTTTATTATACACAAGCACGACGCACGACGTTTCGATAAGTATTGTCTTATCGTGCTTGATAACGATAAGAGAATACTTATCGATATGTCGTGCTTGTGTATAATAAACCAGTGATTGTTGTCCCGATGTTTCCAATTGCTAAATGCCAATAAGGATTATCGTGATAATAATTTATCACATATCCTGATAAACGATATTATCGTGGTCATTTATAAGTGTGTCTTAAAAAGTTAAATTTTGAAGACATGGGCAGAAAATCGTCGCTTGATGTCAAATTATTGTTGCTAACATTGGGAAATTTACCCTAGACCAGCTGATACTTAACAATGCTATTTTTTACTAATCAATTTAATTCTATCAATAGATCGTTATAGGTAATGATATAGCATACGTACAGGCCTGGAAATAACGGTTTTAGATGTACCTGACAATACGTCAGACACTAATGAAATAGTACCTGACATTTCCAACTTAGTGTCGGACATGTATTAATAATATCAATAAAAAAGACAATTCAGTGCCTGACAAAATGGCAAGCACCAGAGGTTTTGTGCCTGACAAAGCCTGAATCAGTGCCTGATATTGTCAGTGACATGTGCCTTATTTCCAGGCTTGTATATGTATTATCATCAATATTGGGACACAATAATTATCATATGGTTATCATGATCAACTGGTTTTCCTATATTTTCAAGTAAGTCTGATATGATAAAATTGCTGATGATTTTATCACAATACACAGAAAAAACGGTATATCGCCCAACTCTATTTAAACTCATTATCAAAAATAATCAGTCAGCTTTAAAGTAGACACAAGTACAAATTAGATGGGTGATTTTAAATGATTTTTCTGAATTTTTGAACAAATGTGGACGAAATTAGTGCTTGATACACAAGATTAAATGATACCCGGATTACAGTGTTACATACACCTGCCTCCCCAAGTTGTGGTGCTTGATCCTTACACACACCCACCTCCCCAAGTTGTGGTGCATGATGAGCTAAGGTTTGTTATTAAAACCACACCATACTCATTCAATCTCTGCATGTAAAGGGGGGTTGGATGGCCGCATGGTTAGCACGCGCGCGCTGTATCATACGGTCTGTCACTGAGTCAACTGGCAGGGTTTTGATTCCCTGGTTGTACGTGACAAGGAGTAGGGTCACCTGTCCAACCTCGTGGGTTTTCTCTGGGTCCTCCGGTTTCCTCGCAAGCAAATTATTGAAATAAAATTGAACCATGTGTTAGTCCCGAAATGACCTAGTTTGTGTCATTTGGATATATAGGTTTTGCTCACCAGAGAAGGGTTTCTCATATATCTAGTATTTTGATACTATTGTATATGTTATATTAAAATGTTGAATCCAGATCATCTTTTATTTCTGTTAACCCAAACTATGTTATATTTCTAGTAATTTTATAAAAGGATATGAAGAAATCTTTTCCACCATGTAAATGTAGAACGAGAATATCATCTAAAGTATCTTCACCATTGTTGAGTTTACAAGCCGTTGATTTCTCTACATAAATATCTAACTGTATCTCAACTATATCACCTTAAAAAACATATAAAATACAGGTGTGATGTTCTCCTTTATGTGATTCGTTACATGATACACAAAAAAACATATAAAATACAGGTGTCATGTCATCCTTTATGTGACTTGTTACGTGATACACATATAAAATACAGGTGTGATGTCATCCTATATGTGACTCATTACATGATACCATAAAAACATATAAAATAAAGGTGTGATGTCATCCTTTAGGTGACTCGTTACGTGATACACAAAAAACTACAAATTGTGTAATGAAGAATGCCATGATGCCACATGAGCTTATTTTGGCTACAGCATTTTCTGATACTGGTAATAGTAGAAAAATGCTAATATTTTAGATCATCGACTTATGAGACGTGAACGTTTCATCGAATAAACGAAGACAGTAATTTTTCTTGAATATTACTGACTTGAACTTCAAGCTGGTACATGGATTAAATATGGAAAATCTCCAAAAGGTCGTTATTTTTGTGGTAATAACCAGGCCTGAAAATAACGGTTTTAGATGAACCTGACAATATGTCAGACACTAATGAAATAGTTCCTGATATTTTCAACTAAATGCCGGACATGTATTAATAATATCAATAAAAAAGACAAATCAGTGCCGAACAAAATGACAGGCACCAGAGATTTAGTGCCCGACAAAGCCTGAATCTGTGCCTGACATTGTCTGTGACAGGTGCCTTATTTCCAGGCTTAGTTATAACATGCATTAAAATACGACATTCTCCATAACAAATTACCAAAAATTATTTTTGTTGAAGTCTAGTTAGGCCTATATTAGAGGGAATGTAAGCTTATGATTAACCTATTTCCTTTGGGACCTCATTTGACTCAATTCTGGCTGGTTCCTTTCAAAATGGATTAAGAACCCTGGTACAAACGCTGGGCCATTCGTTCATTATTTATAGAAGATGGCTGTCCAGTGATGATTTCACGTGTACGTGGGTGACAGTGTAATACGTGTTTAAAGGTCTCAAGCATGCAGTACCATCTGGATCTTTAAAGCATACATAATATCTTCTTTTGTCTCAGACTTGTCATCAAGAAATTGATTTTACTTCAGTATGCAGCACTCAAAAGTCAAGTAAAAGTTCAACATAAAACGTGCTTAGTAATGTTATAGTTTTACATAAAACATACCTAGTAATATCATAGATCTACATAAAACGTACCTAGTAATGTTATAGATCTTTATAAAACATACCTGGTAATATTATAGATCTTTATAAAACATACCTGGTAATATTATAGTTATATATAAAACGTACCAGGTAATGTTATAGTTATATATATAACATACCTGGCAATATTATAGATCCATATAAAATGTACATGTACCTGGCAATATCAGGGTAATATCATAGCTCTATATAAAACATACCTGGTAATAGTATAGCTCTATATAAAACATACCTGGTAATATTATAATAAAATATACCTGGTAATATTATAGCTCTATATAAAACATACCTGGTAATATTATAATAAAACGTACCTGGTAATATTATAGCTCTATATACACGTACCTGGTAATGTTATAATAAAACGTACCTGGTAATATTATAGATCTATATGGTGTAACTTGTAACCATGGTTTACTGATGCTTGGATCATCTAATTTTTTTATAAACTCGATAGTAACTGGTTCCTGTAATATGAAAAAATATGGTACATATTAATACAGGCCTTTGTGAATTATGCGAAACCATAGCAACCTACTCTCTAGATTCTAAATAAGAGCAAATTTATCCTTGGTTTCCCTAGTTTGTGGCCAGCAATTTTGTCCCTGACAAACCCTGGATCAGTGCCTGACAATATCTGTGACAGGTGCCTTATTTCCAGGTTTCTTTGTAAAAGTAAAATGTTATGATTTGTCTCCAGGAGTGGTTTCCCTTGCTTCAAATCAATTTGATTTAATAAACAAATAACTTGTCAAACTAGTTTTCCTTTGATAAATTAAATTTGCCCGAAATATCATCATAACCTGGTCTTAAATTAATTTTATCAATAAACGTTTTCAAACATCAAGCGGCTGAAGACGACAATAATGAGTTGATTAAGATATTTATGACATATACATTATACATCAACCTTTTTAAACACCAAGCGGCTGAAGATGTCAATAATGAGTCCATTAAGATATTTATATATATATATCAACTCACCTGCCCTATATTAGATACAATCAATTTATCAGATCTTGGTTCAATAAATTTAACATCTTTAAAATAGTACTGTAAAATAAAATATTCTTATAAAGACACAGAAATTGATTTATAGATACGCCACCATTTTGCAAAAGATGGACGGAGAACAAGCTAAAAACGTGAGTTTTCATACAATCAAGGGCCATAACCCAGAAGTTATGTTCCAATATGCAACAATTTCTAAAGGAACCGAGATGTTTGGGATATAAACAAATTGTGGGTGGATGTACAGGGACAATGACAACATACATCTACATGAAAATGTGGACATATAAAAACATGATTTTTTGTACAATCAGGGGCGATAATCCAGGAAGTGAGCGTCCTATACATGCCTATGTGAGAGAAATTAGGGCTAAATATGCAAGATCAAACAATAGCCAGGTTAAAGTGGATAGTCCCCATTAATAAGTCTGTTACCAGTATCACAATAACGAGGACAGAATGACATTGTAACAAAGAGAGAGAGAGAGCTTAACGTCCACTCAACACAAACTAGGTCATTTCGGAACTAACAAATGGTTCCATTTTATTTTAATAATTCACTTGCTCAGGGGTCTTTAGCAGTGGGAGGAACTTTGAGGACCCAGAGAAAACCCAAGAGGTTTGACAGGCGACCCTACTCCTTGTCACGTACAACCAGGGAATCGAAACCACGGCAGTTGACTCAATGACAGACCGTATGATATGATGCACACACTTTAACCATTCTGTCACCCTACCACTTAAAGATACATTTTGTAAGATTTAAATAAAAAACTGACTATTCTTGCTATAATAGCTCAAAAATAGATAATGTAAAATGACAATATTGAAAATTTCATTCAAATTACTTCATTCTGAGCCAAGTTATCACTGTTTGTAGTTTTGACAAGATGTGTGCATAGTGTTAACCCTGGCACTGGTATATTCGAGACTTAGCCTCACCTTTCCAATTTTTAAATTAAATTCAATGGCAAACCGTTCTAATCTAGTTAAAATCTCGAGTATCCGATGCTATCTAGAGTTGATTATGGTCTGGATAAGTTAATTAATGTCTAATAATTTAGATAACATGTAAGGCCTAAAGAAAGACGTGCAATAGGCAGATTTAGCTCTTGTATAATGTATAGTTAATCAAATACAAACCTCTGTACAACTAAGTTTAACTTGAGGTAAATATTCATTTTCTATTCGGTCTAATTTCTTCATCACTTCTTCATAAACTTTCTTGTGTTTCTTTGTGTCAATTACTTTAATCTGAAAAATCAAATAAAAATCAGATTTGTTTTTCCAAGAAGTAACGGTGGCTCGGTGATTAGGACACAGACAATATATTATATATATATATATATATATATATATATATATATATATACTAAATGCTAACGTGTTAAATTAAAACACTATTGACTCCCTTCATTTCCTTAAAACATTGAGAGAGAGAGAGAGAGAGAGAGAGAGAGAAATGGGGTTTAACGTCCACTCGACACAAACTAGGTCATTTCGGGACTAACACATGGTTTAATTTTATTTCAATAATTCGATTGCGCGTAGGGGTCTTTAGCAGTGGGAGGAAACCGGAGGACCCGGAGAAAACCCACGAGGTTGGACAGGCGACCCTACTCCTTGCCACGTACAACCGGGGATTCGAAACCACGCCAGTTGACTCAATGACAGACTTTATGGTACAGCGCGCACGTGCTAACCATTCAGCAGCCATCCACCCCCCCCAATGAGGGAGAAGCTGCTGTGTCTGTCTCTGTGAGGGAGAAACTGCCTCAAGAACCAGGAAATGAATTAAAATGGGGTTTAACATCCTACTGAGTGAGCTAATGAAGACAGGCATATGCCATACAGTGTGCTATGAGAAATATTTTGTCCGGACAGCGACACTATTGCCTACTCTTATACTGAATTCCAACTGCCAAGGGATCTTTTACGTGCATACCAATGTATACACAGGACCTCGGTTTTTCGTACCATCCAAACGACTAAACAGCTGTCCTTGTTAGGCCCTCCGTCCTGCATTACTGACAAGGGGAAAAGCACACAGGAAAATCCAAACAAACTCTCTCGGCCAAGACTGGAAGCGAATCTGCGACCTCCAGGTTAGCGAGCCAGCGTTTTACCCACTTAGCCACTGTGATCAAATATTTCAACTAAACATAACCCTTAAAACGTCAAATATTTCAACTAAACATAACTTCCTTATTGATCAATGGCAGTCTTCTTACATAATCACAAACTAGAGAAAAATTCGGTAAAATTCGGTCAAAAATTCCAACTAAATACAAAACATAATTTCCTTATAGCCATCCTCGTATTAAATATCAGAGTAGAGTATAAATGTCGTCAAATAAACATAATTTCATTATTTAGACGATCAATGGCTGTTCTCTTACATGTACATAATTAAAAAATAGAATAAAATTAAGTAAAAATATCGTCAAATATTCAAAGTAACCATACGCTTTACAACTCAGTATAATTAACATCAAAATTCCATCTAAAATAATTTTCTGTCGTAGTCTGCTTACATAGTAAATCGACCAGTTAAACATTAAAAATATGGTCAAATATTTAAAGTTACCAAACCCATTAAAACTCAGTAACCATGTCATCACATAATCCAACTAAAATAATTTTCTATGGTTGTCTGCTTACATAATCCTATGTAGTAGATCAACCAGTTAAAAATTAAAAATATGTGAGCTGTTCCCACAAAACCAGGCTCTTGGTCATTTTTATAAAAATAGAGCTCACGGCATATTTGGATAGTCCACAGCCTAAGCTTTCCAAAAATGCAATTCTTTGTAAATTTGTCCTATCATCTGGAGTTGAGTTCGGCTCAGCAACAAGGAGGCATATATACAGTTTATGCTTTTGTGCTCATAGTACAAAATGAAGTTGTGCAACAAGCGCCTGGTTTTGTGGGAGTGGGTCACATATGGTCAAACATTCAAAGTAACTATATCTTTTCAAACTCAGTAAAAATTTCATTAAATAGTAGATGATCAATCAGTTAAACACCTGGTATGCCTAATCTAATAAAATATCTCTCCTAACGACTTTCTGTCGTAGTCTGCTAATTACATAATGCTATATGTGTGTGTGAGATAGCTTTATTTAATGTCCGCTTCCACCGAGGTGATAATCCTATAGATCAACAACCAGTTAAACACCTTGTATAGCTAATCTAATAAAATATCTCCTAATAACTTTCTGTCGTAGCTAATTACATAATCCTATAGATCAACAACCAGTTAAACACCTTGTATAAACTAATCCAATAAAATATCTCTCCTAATAACTTTCTGTCATAGTCTCATATAAATCAACAACCAGCTAAACACCTTTTATAAGCTAATCCAATAAAATCTCTCCTAATAATTTTCTGTCTTACTCTCCTATAGAACAACAACCAGTTAAATACCTTGTATGGCTAATCTAATAAAATATCTCTCCTTATAACTAAACAGAGATAAACATGTCAAATAAATAAACAACTAGTCATTATTCAAGTTAGTCACACAGTTCATAAAAAGAGTCAGGAAATAAGAAATTTTCCTCGTACATATCTTATTATTCAACATGTGAAACTAGTAATTATCTTATCATTCATACTGGTACATGGAAATGGGAGGGAAAAACAGATATGAATAATCAATTGATTTTATAAACTTCCTGGTTTAGTACTTGTTTGGGTTTTTATATGGAAGACCAAACAGCTATTTATTCAATATTCTTAATTTTTAGTTCTTAATTCCCAGTCCTTAAATCTTATTTCTTCATTTGTTGTCGTATTTCAACATTTGTAAAATTGTATACTAAAATTAACATTTGTATAAAATACAATTAACATACATTTTAGTTACAAATCTGATATGACAAATGTCTGATTTGTAAAACAAACATTAGTTTATAGTTTAAACAATATTTTATTCAATAAACTGAATTGGATTGAACAACAGGCAAGGCCTATATAAGTTCTCTCCAAACATATAAAATAGTTAAATCTTATGTTTACAATACAGTGGTGACATATGTACAGACAGTGAGTAACAAACATATATACATTTTGAAGTGTAATTTTAAGTTTTAAATGTTAAAGTTTTAAAATCTCTTGCTGTCTTTTATGTATTATGTAATTTTAAGTTTTAAATGTTAAAGTTTTAAAATCTCTTGCTGTCTTTTATGTATTTTTGCACTATTTCAAATATGTTGGAATTGGTATTATCTGAAAGAGAGGGGTTGCCATATAGGATCAGGTCAATTGTAACATTTTGATTAAGGTGGTGTAGATTATTTTTTAGAATTTTTCTTGGGGCAGAGTAGGCTGGACATATGAAAAAATAATGGTAAATATCTTCGTCTGCAGAATTACACCTAGGGCACATCTTTGTGTCACTAATAAAATGGTAGAATAAGTGATTATTTAAGTTACTAGCTTTATTTCTTAATTGGCAAGGGATAATATTCTCTTTCCTATTTCCAGTATTATAATATAGTAGTGGTCTAATTAAAGGATACACGCGTGAAAGGCCCAATTTGAATGTACTTAACGTTTGTGAAGTTTTAATATTTTCAGGTAAGTTGTTCCAAAGTTTAATTGTGCAGGGAAAGAAACTATTAGAATATGAACTCATTTTACAAAATGGTAGATTGAGGTTCAGATTTTCATTTCGAAGGTTATATACTATTCAAAAAAAGTAGGGGATATTTGATTTTGGGAGCATAATACTAAAATATGCAAATGACTACGAAAAAAGTCACTATAGAACCTAACAGAAGAAACATTTCCAGTTACATGTGACGCCCAAACGCACCAATAGCTACCGCATGGAATGCAGGTGATGCTTGGGATCATCATGGGGGTCCAACCCAAGATTTGCACGACTCTGACTTTGAATGTTACAGTCATTGTGGCATTGAATTCCAGGGTGGAAACATCAGTTTAATTGTTTTAGTGACCAGAAACCAAAGCGTTGGCTTACCCAAAATGAAAGGTTACGTGCCCTTGGCATGCTACAGATCGGCACAACTCAGGCGGTTGTGGCGCGGACGATGAATGTTTCTCAGTCTGTCATAAGCAGGCTATGGTCCAGATACCGTGATACACAATCTGTACAGGACAGACCACGCTCAGGTCGACCAAGGGCGACAACTCAAGCCCAGGATCGATTTATCCGTACCTTGGCCTTGAGAAATCGTGTCATCACAGCAAATCAGATCAGCGCTCGTCTTCAAACAGACACTGGTGTGAGAGTGAGTGGCCAGACGATTCGGAATCGACTGCATAGGGGTCACCTTCGCGCCCGACGTCCTCGCGTGATCCCTTGTTTGAGAGATCATCACATTCAGGCAAGACGTCGTTGGTGTAGGGATCGTCAACACTGGGATAATCGACGCTGGAGCAATGTGATGTTTTCAGATGAGTCAAGGTTCACTGTTGATTTTTTGGACAGACGTAGGAGGGTGTGGCGTCGTCGAAACGAGCGCTTCCAAGACGTTAACGTCATCAGACATGATCGATTTGGGGGTGGTTCTGTTATGGTGTGGGGAGGCATCACTGTTGCTGGAAGAACGGCTTTACATGTTGTTGCAGGGCGTGTTTCAGGCCAGTACTCCAGGGACAACATCTTGGCAGTCCATGTTGTGCCGTTCGCACGACGTCATGGCCGCCGTTTCATCTTCCAGGATGACAACGCAAGATGTCACAGGGCCAGGATCGTTACAGGTTACCTCCAACAACAGAACATCACCACATTACCTTGGCCAGCACTGAGTCCCGACCTCTCCCCCATCGAGCATGTCTGGGACATGCTTGGACAGAGGTTACGTCAACGTCAACAACGTCCTGCCAATGTCCAAGAACTTGCTGCTGCGTTGCAACAGGAATGGGACAATCTGGACCAAAATGACCTTAGACGTCTCATTAGGAGTATGCCACGTCGGATCAATGCTTATTTGGCAAACAGAGGAGGATTTACCCGTTACTGACTTGGTTGTGATGCTGTGGTAACTTTGCTGTTTGACCCCGGGTATCATTTTACCCTTATAATGGTCAGCCTGTGCCTTACTTAGTCTAACGATCATTTGGAATAAATCGATGAATGTGAACTTCATTTCATTTTGTCATTTGTTTCTTCGTCAGTTTCATTAGGTGACTTTAATAACACTTAAAAATCAAATATGCCCTACTTTTTTTGAATAGTATAATTTGATACAGACGGTTCAAATTTTTTAAAGGCTTCAGATAGATAAGTGGGACTTAGGTTATTCTTTATTTTGTATAAGTAAATTAATTTGTGTTTTATTCTGCGATTAGACAATGATTCCCAACCAAGCTCTTTGTATAAATTGTTTTTAGATGAATTTCTTCTAAGGCCAGTTATTATTCTACCTGCTTCAGTTTGAACACTTTCTAATAGATCAGAATCCTTCTTTGAACAGTTATCCCATACAATATCGGCATATTCTAAAATCGGACGAATAAAAGCAAGATATATTTTGTTAAGTGAAATTCTGTTAATTTTGTATTTCAGTATACGCAAAATATTTAGTCGACCACAAGCTTTCTGGTATATATTTGAAATGTGTTTTGACCATAATGCATTAGACTGAAATGTTATTCCCAAATGACAATGAGTAGTTACGTTTTCAACTTTTGTATTTTCAAAAATAACGTCTGGATGGATTGTATTTTTCCTAGTAAAAATAATATCTTTAGTTTTATTGGGGTTAAAAGTTATACACCATTGTTTAGCCCACGATGAGATAATATTCAGATCTTCAGTCATAGAGTTCGCGCTACTTAGAGGATCATTATGAATAATGGTAAAAAGTGAAGTATCATCGGCGAATAGCCTTATGTTGTTAGTAATATTATCGGAGATATCATTTAAATAAATTAAAAATAGGAAAGGACCCAGCACACTTCCCTGGGGGACTCCAGAATCAGTATACAAATAGTTTGATTTGAAACCTTCTAAAACTACGCATTGTTGTCTATTACTTAAATAGTGTTCAATCCATTTACATAATATTTCATTAACTCCATATTGTTTTAATTTAGACAATAAGCCTATATGCCAAACTTTGTCAAACGCTTTTGATACATCACAAAATATAAATCGAATTTGCTTTCCTTTATCAAGATTACTAATTATAACATCATAAATTTCTAAAAGTTGGTTTATTGTAGAATCGTTAGGTTGAAAACCAGACTGATACTTATATAATAGGTTATTTTCTTTTATAAAATTATAAAGATTTTTGAATAAGATTTTCTCTAGTATTTTACACAATGAACATGTTAATGAAATTGGTCTATAGTTTTCAGGGAACTGCGGATCACCCTTTCCTTTATACGCTGCAATGATATGTGAAGTCCTCCAGATATCAGGTAATAATTGGAGTTCTAATGAAAGATTAAAAAGTTTAGTGAGAGGGCTTGTGATTGATGGAGTTATCTTTTTCAATACAGCTGGACTGATATTATCGGGACCAGAAGGTTTTGAACAGTTAAGAATTAGTAACTGGTCTTTCACTTCTTGCTCACTTACAATAAAATTTTGTAGTTCGTTGTTACTGCGAGAAGCAAAGTATGGAAGGTCAGGTACATCATTTAATTTTGAAATCGAAGCAAAATAAGAGTTTAGGATGTTTGCCTTATCAAGTGGGTGTGTGTAAACACAGTTTTCAAATAATAATGGGGAGGTTTGTACCTTTACATTATCATAATTTGTAATAGATTTAGCTATTTTCCACCATTTATTTGGTTGCAAGGTTTTATTATTTATTTGTTGTTCTAATTTCTCTTTAAAACTATTTTTAGCTTCCCTAATTAATGTTATTACTTGATTTCTTATTTTTCTAAATAATAGCCAATGATTAGGACTATTTGTTTTTTTGGCGCGTCTGTGTGCTCTATTTCGTTTTCGAATTTTTATACGTATGGCGTTATTCATAAATGGCTTATCATTTGGTCTTATAGTTACTACTTTTGTTGGGATATATTGTACTAATGCTTTATTTAAAACATCTAAAAAGCTTTGATAAATTTTATTAATATCATCATTTTTAAAAACATTTTTTGAACAATCGACAGTTAATAATTCGTTATATAAACCTTCATAATCTGCAAGTTTATAATTTCTAATAGTTCTTTTGTATGTTAATTGTTTGTATGTTTTTATATTTAAAGATAAGGTTATTGGTGAATGTGTACTGCATATAGGAGCATTAACATTAGTATCGGATATAAGGGATTTCCTATTGGTAATAAAAAGATCAATACATGAACCTGGGAGCGTTGTGAAATTAGTCGGTTCTTTTATCAGATTTTCAAGATTTAAACTTTGTAATAGTTTTTTAAATTTAGCACAATTACTTGAATTACTTAAAATGTTGATATTAAAATCCCCCGTTAGGATAAAAGAGGAACCTCTATCTAATGCATTAGATAACGTATCGTAAAATATGTCCCAAAAGGCAACCTTTGTATTTGGGGGTCTATATATTACCCCGAGTAGGAATTTGGTGTAATCAGTAAATATGTCTATAAAAATTAATTCAATATCAGAGTTTATGAGTTCATGCCTAATCTGAAAGTGTAGATTATTTTTTATATAAACAACAACCCCACCCCCATGCCTGTTTCTATCTATTCTAACTGGACTTCTATAACCGGGCAGTAAAATCATTGAATCATTAATAGTGTTGTCTAAATGAGATTCAGTAATACATATTATATCATAGTTGGAGAATTCAGCTTCAATTATATCTAGTTTTGGCAATAAACTACATACATTATTGTGGACAATGGAAATGTTCCCTGTATTTAATGTATTAAACGGACCAGGGTTTTGTTCTATGCAACCGACAATTAACAAAGTTTTAATTACCAGCAATAGATGCATATTTATACCATAACACGAGATAGGATGTAAGATCACATATAAGGCATGTTGATCGTTCCGTTTGAGAGGCCAAATAGTATTAGTTTTAATCGTGGCTGTCATTAAGTAATATTTTACGTTCACATGTAAGATCGGAACAATCAGACATATATTTATATATATTTAGGTACGTATGCATAATGAGATATGGCTTCATATTAGAGATTTCTTTAAATATGTAGTTAATACATTTTACACTCCTAGAAGTTAGATACATGGAATAACGAAAATGAGACAAACAAATATACAATATACTACATAACAATAATGAAAACATCAGAACAGTATTTACAATCACAATTACAAACAAATTCATACTTATAGCGAGGTATGAGTTTACATCTCCAACAGATAAATTACTTACATTGTACTTAAATTGTATTTCAAGTTTTGGAGTCGAGTAATATTAGTGTATGGGGGGGGGGGCTAATCATATATGCAAGATGCAAGTAGGTAAAGTTCATTGATAGTGATCTAAATGATCTTTAATATTACATCTACAGTAACAAGGACAATTGGATGAAAGTGTGCTATTCGATCAATATCTCAAAATATTTTCAATGTCAGAGTACTTTTCTATGTAGAATACTGTTGAGTACAAGATTTCTGTATAATTTAATTGATTCTAGTTCGTAAAAAGATATTCAATATACCTATAATAGGTTGTGTCAATAACTACAATATTATCTTTGTATTAGTACAAATAAGGTTGTTGGGTTGTTTTTTTTTGTCTCTAACTTCAATAATTTAAGTTAGTGAACTTTCATCAGGATATAGTATTATTTGATATATCATCTTTCATTCAACACTACTTTCATTTTGTTAGTGCTGGGTAATTATTAACTCTTTGTATAATGCTATGTCATTTTGGTAAATCAATCAATATTTTTATATATATAGTAATCAAGTTAGAAACGACTAAAGTTAGGGGTATAATGTAAGCAGTATGCATTTTTGTTATTTGAAATACATTTGGAAGTTCGATGGCGCACATAGCATGTTAACATGTTAGTGTTAGTATTTACTTGTATGATCCTTTATAATCAACCTTATTTAACATTTTCATTCAGTTTTGGATTGGGTGTAGAAGTAAATAAACCTAAATCTAACAAGGACTGTTGTCGTAACAAGGGGCTTGTTTGATTTAATTCAGCTATATTAACGGGTTGAGCTGTGGATACAGATGAAGTTGATCTAGCTGTATGTTGGTTTAACATGGCTGATGCACTATTCAATGTCAGGTGATCGGGCTGATCAGTGTTCATTTGCTGTTCAACAATTGGCGTATCATAAAACTGATTGATGTCATCTTCACAATTGATTAATATATTTTTGTCATCATTTAGATTTTTGACAAATATTCGACCGTCATATGTCCAGCAGTTTTTAATTTTATTCAGTTTGAAGAGTTCGCGTGTCTTTTTATACAGCTGAGATTTTCTATGTGTCAAGGCTTCATTAATAAAGATTTTTGTTTTATTTGCTATGTTGAATTGTTTTAGCCTCTTTTTGTTGCCATATACTGCGGCACGATCCCTGTAGCTGATAAATCTAACAATTATATCTCTGTGGTAATCTTTATTGCGAGATCCAACTCTATGAGTACGACCTATTTGATTAATTGTTAGACGGGCATCTCGATCATTTAAAACATGGTTATTTATAATATCAAGTATGAGATTATCAGTATTTTCACCAGCCCTCTCACTAATTCCACTGAACATTGATTTGTAAAACAAATATTGATTTTAAGATACAAATGTTAATTTTAGTGTACAAATGTCGAAATATGACAGCAAATGAAGAAATAAGAATTAAGGACTATAAATTAAGAAATAAGGACTAATAACACTGACTGAATAAAGAGCTGTTTGGTCTTCCATATTTTTAAATATGGAGAAATATTAATTTTCCTTTGTCAGTACATGGAGCAATCTGATTAAAACACGGATCCTATTTCATTTCGTTTTTTATAGTTCAAAATTTTGTTTTACTTGTCTTTACTACACCAGGATCTTGAAGAGTTGTTATATAACCCGCGTTCTGGATGATGTGAGGGTTATATTACTGGTGTTTTGGTTGAAATGAGGGATAAGCCAATGAAATGGTGAGTTAATGGCGATTTATTTGCGTGAGGTGCACGGAACAGTGGGTAACCCACTAGAAACATCTACGCTGATTGAAGTATCAAGGGTCTGACGCGACCTTCCACTACAATTGGTCAGATCTTCATGTAGTAGTAGAGGCCATCGAAAGCATACAAAAAATGAAATATAGATCTGTATTTTAATCAGATTGTCAGTGACAGTGGTGCTGAATGGATCAGATGGTATCTAGTCATTCGGATGGTATAATAAACCAAGGTCTCTGTTGGTGTGCATGCAAAAGAACCCTTGACGGTTGGAATTCAGATGGGATGATAAATCAAGGGATTCCTATTATAGGGCCAAATAATGCAATGAGCCTTTATAAAGAATAACTTACAATTGTGTAGAATACGGGCAGGTTTATGGTAATATATTAAAGTGTATGTTGTACCCGGATATTTATGGTAATATATTAAAGTGTGTGCTGTACCTGGGTGTTGATGGTAATATATTACAGTGTGTGCTGTAGCCGGGTGTTGATGGTAATATATAAAAGTGAGTGCTGTACCCGGGTGTTGATGGTAATATATTAAAATGTGTGTTGTACCCGGGTGTTGATGGTAATACATTAAAGTGTGTGTTGTACCCGGGTATTGATGGTAATATATTAAAGTGGGTGCTCTACCCGGGTGTTTATGGTAATACATTAAAGTGTGTGTTGTACCCAGTTGTTTATAGTAATATATTAAAGTGTATGTTGTACCCGGATGTTTATGGTAATATATTAAAGTGTGTGTTGTACCCGGTTGTGTATGGTAATATATTAAAGTGTGTGTTGTACCCGGGTGTTTATGGTAATATATTAAAGTGTGTGCTGCACCCGGGTGTTTATGGTAATATATTAAAGTGTGTGCTGTATCCGGGTGTTGATGGTAATATATTAAAATGTGTGTTGTACCCGGGTGTTTATGGTAATATATTACAGTGTGTGCTGCACCTGGGTGTTTATGGTAATATATTAAAGTGTGTGTTGTACCCGGGTGTTGATAGCAATATATTAAAGTGTGTGTTGTACCCGGGTGTTGATGGTAATATATTAAAATGTGTGTTGTACCCGGGTGTTTATGGTAATATATTACAGTGTGTGCTGCACCTGGGTGTTTATGGTAATATTATAAAGTGTGTGTTGTACCCGGGTGTTGATGGTAATATATTAAAGTGTGTGTTGTGTACCCAGGTGTTTATGGTAATATAGTAAAGTATAACTTACATTACATTCATGTAGAGCACTGACAGGTTTATGATCACTAACACACAATGATTGATGAGAGTTATAACGTAGCTGGCGTATACCACTTCCTTTATATAATATACGATCACAATACGCTGGCATTCGACTCTTTTCACTGATAAAAAAACACAAACAAAATAAACATTAACTATTCATCTAATAATAGCAGTAGAGGACAACCCTCGTAAAGTGAGAGAGAGAGAGAGAAATGGGGTTTAACGTCCAGTCGACACAAACTAGGTCATTTCGGGACTAACATATGGTTTGATTTTATTTACATAATTCGCTTGCGCGTAGGGGTCTTTAGCAGTGGGAGGAAACCGGAGGACCCAGAGAAAACCCACGAGGTTGGACAGGCGACCCTACTCCTTGCCACGTACAACCGGGGATTCGAAACCACGCCAGTCGACTCAATGACAGACTTTATGATACAGCGCGCGCACACTAACCATTCAGCCATCCAACCCCCCTCCTCGTAAAGTGAGGTCTGAAATAGCTGGAGATTTATGATCAGAAGACATCTGTACTGGGATCTCAGTGATATACAGGGGGTTCAGAGAGAGAGAGAGAGAGAGAGAGAGAGAGAGGGAAATGGAGTTTAAAGTCCACTCGACACAGACTAGGTCATTTCGTGACTACCATATGGTTTAATTTTATTTTAATAATTTTCTTCCGGAGGACCCGGAGAAAACCAACGAGGTTGGGCAGGCAACCCTATTCCTTGTCACGTACAACCGGGGATTGTTGACTCAATGACAGGCCTTATGATACAGCAAGCACGCGCTAACCATTCGGCCATCCAATCCCAAGTAGTTTAATAAAGTTAAATATTGTGCAGATGTTTACTAAGGGAAATTAATTCTAAATGACATGGGTTTAACGTCCGACATTTCTGCACCTAGTGGGCTAATAAAGACAGGAATACACCATGTCATGTGCTACATGTAAGAGGGAAATTTCACCCGGACAGCAGTATTTCTGCCAACTACCTAGGGTTTAAAGGGCCAATCCCGATAATTTTTTGGAGAATAAAACTGTTTAATTTTGTTTTAAAATCCCTTAAAATCCTCTACCTAAGGGCCGAGCAACTAACTCAATATTTGTGATAAGTTTTCAAATAACTGAAACCCGTCAGTCTCCATCTGGAAATGGAGACCGGTGTCCCAAGCTGTATTATGCGGTGTCTAGATAAAACCAGACATTTTTTATATAAAAATAATGAGTAGGTGAAATTTACCTTTCATTATCAAGTACAGCATTTGGGTCATTCACTGTATAGACCTCTCAATGAACGGGAATTGATTATCAGGTCTCCCAACGAAAAAATTGACCCGAAATCTTAAAAGGGTTAGGTGTCCGGATAAGCAGTTTTGACGGTCACGTCCAAACGACTCAATATTTTGAGCTGAAATTTTTAGATACGGTCAATACACCATTCCTCTTTATTTTGACGCTTCAATTTCATACATACTCAGACTTTTTTTTTTGAGACTCTGTTCAAATGAGGGATAGTCCCTTTAACGTAAATGAAATGAAATGGGGTTGAACGTCCTACTGTTATGCTCCTAAACTGGGCTAATGAAGACGGGCATACGCCATACAGTGTGCTATGAGGAAAATTTTGCCCAGGCAGCGGCTCTACGGCCTACTCTTATATCGAATTCCAACTGCCAAGGGATCTTTTACGTGCACGGCAATATGTACACGGGACCTCGGTTTTTCGTCCCATGCGAACGACTAGACAGCTGTCATCATCAGGCCATCCGTCCTGAATCACTGACCAGGGGAAACCACCCCTTTAACGTCTGACATTTCCGCACCTACTGGGGTAATGAAGACGGGCATATGCCATACAGTGTGCTATGAGTGACATTTTGCCTGGGCAGCAGCATGTCTACCTAGGTTTATTATATTTTACAGGTATTTACCTTGAATCCCAGTTGTTAGTACCAGTGTCATATTTATAAGTTGGTTGAAATGTTATGGGACCTTCTTGATAACCTCTAAATATATCAGTTCTACCAAGTTGACTGTTTAACTGTGGAAAGAACATGTCAAAAATATCAGTCATACTCTTTAACAAAATCAAGAGAGAGAGAGAGAGAGAGAGAGAGAGAGAGAGAGAGAGAGAGAGAGAATTTTAACATCCACTTGACACAAACTAGGTCATTTTGGGACTAACATATGGTTCAATTTTCTTTCAATAATTCGCTTGCGCGTAGGGGTCTTTAGCAGTGGGAGGAAACTAAAGGACCTGAAGAAAACCCACGAGGTTGGACAGGTGACTCTCCTCCCTGTCAGGTACAACCGGGGAATTGAAACCACGCCAGTTGACTTAATGACAGACCTTGTGATACAACGTGCACGTGCTAACCATTCGGCCATCTAACCCCCTCAATTGCCAAGGGACCATTTACAGGACCTCGGTTTTTCATCCCATCCAAACAACTAAACATTGTCCCTTGCCCACCGTCCTACATCACTGACAAGGCCGAACCAAACACTTTCTCAGCCAACGAAGGGATCGAACACGGGCCCGCAAAGGTTAACGGGCTCCCTAAAACGAAATAACTTTTGTTCAATAATTCGCTTGCGCGTGGGAGGAAACCGGAGGACTGGGAGAAAAATCACGAGGCTGGACAGGTGACTCTTCTCCCTGTCAAGTACAACCAGGGAAACGAAACGCCAGTTGACTCAATGACAGACCTTGTGATACAACGCGCACAAGCTAACAATTCGGCCATCCGACCACCCTCTCCCCCCTCCTACCCTCGTCAGGAAAAGGAAATAACTTCTGTTGATACATACCTGATCATGAGGTAATAGTTTACCATATAGACCTTGTTCTGAATAAAGTTTTACTTCATCTATATTTAAATTAGATATTCTATAGTTTAAATCACCAATCCAAAATATTAAACTGTAAAAAAAAATAAAATAAAATGAAATGAAATGGGTGTTTAGCATCCAACTGTTCTGCTCCGACTGGGCTAATGAAGACGGGCAAATGACATACAGTATGCTATGAGGGAAATTTTGCCCGGGCAGCGACACTACGGCCAACTCTTATATCAAAGTCCAACTGTCAAGGGATCTTTTACGTGCATGCCAATGTATACACAGATCCTCGTTTTTTCGTATCATCCAAACAACTAGACAGCTGTCTTTGTCAGGCCCTCCGTCCTGCATCACTGACAAGAGAAACCACGTTGAAAAATCGTGATGAACTTTCTCAGCCAATGCAAGGATCGAACTAGCAAATAACAAATAAAATGTGAGACAACTTCTTCAAAATTCCTCTTGGTTCAGTGATTTTGTTTGTTGACCAATCCAACAAATATCACTTTTTTTTTTTAAAATTCCTTTTGTCAAAATAACCAATAAAAGCCGCCAGGCCCTCAGATTTTCATGCCATAAAAATGACCTTTCTCAGCCAATGCAGGGATCGAACACTCAACCTCCAGACAAGCGAGCCAGCGTCTTACCCACTTAGCCACCGTGACCCCCCCCCCCCAGAGCAGGGGATTTGGGATGGCTAGTGGTCGAGAGTGTCTGGTCATCTATGGCTTGTGGTTGTGGTATCGATCCCTGGTTTGACTCAGATAATTAAAATAGGCCAACTTGTCTGCGATATCACCCTAGGTGGAAACAGACATTAAACAACAATAAAAGAGAGAGAGAAATGGGGTTTAACGTCCACTCGACACAAACTAGGTCATTTCGGGACTATCATACAGTTTAATTTTCTATCAATAATTTGCTTGCGCGTAGGGGGCTTTAGCTGTGGGAGGATACCGATCTTTAGCAGTAGGAGGAAACCGGAGGACTCGGAGAAAACCCATGAGGTTGGACAGACGACCCTACTCCTTGTCACGTACACCCGGGGAATCGAAACCAGGAAAGTTGACTCAATGATAGACTTTATGATACAGCGCGCACATGCTAAACATTCAGCAATCCAACCCCCCACACCAATAAAAGAAATGAAATGAAATGAAATAGGGTTTAACGTCCTACTGGGCTAGTCAAGACAGGCATATGCCATATAGTGTGCTATGAGGGAAATTTTGCCCGGACAGCGGCACTATGGCCTACTCTTATATCGAATTCCAACTGTCAAGGGATCTTTTACCAATAAAAGAAGAAGAATGTTTCCAGCATAATTTATTTTTATTGTTTTACAATAACTTACTCATTTTCTTGAATGGTGAAAGGTGCAAATTGTTTAAATCTGGTTTTACTCTCAATATCTCGATAATCCTGTTGAAATATCAAATAATATATATTGTATTAGTTGTTTACCTGGTGCTGCCTGGGTAGAATCCTCTCACGCTTTCTTATTGAAGTCTTGTGAACCAAGAAGTGGGATAACTCCGAAACCGTGGTACTAGTGCAACTTAGGGTTGGGTTATGTCACTCCAGGGGGATGCTCAATTGTAAGTCTCGAAACCATGGCAGCAGTGCAACTCCACTCGGTCTATGTCACTCCTGGGTGATGCTCGATTGTAAGTCCCGAACATCCCAAACTGGCAGAATTGCAATCAAGTGGCGTAGAGTTGAGTCATATCATAGTTGTCAGTCCCGACCAACAGATGTGGTGTGAGTAGAATTGTGACGTAATTAAACACAATGAATATGTTTATGCAGTCCCCCTTTTCACTTGATTGTCAGTATTTTGGGGAATGAGAGAATCCAATTCTGGAACATCCAATCGAGAATTCCCCAGGGCCCGAGCTGCCCTTAATCCCCAAATTTCAGCCTTGGGACAGCTTTAGTGTAACTGGCTTTCCCAAACAGATAAACCATCAGACAGACAAACGACAGTTATAAATACATATATATGAAAATTAACATGTTGAGGAAAGAAACACGGCTAGTACTTTCTGTTCTGTGTTTCTTTCCTCAGCAATTTAGCTTTCATATATACAAAGTAAGAGTAGACGACCAATTATGTTTCTATAGGAAACCTAGATGACAGTAGAAGGTGTTGTCCATGAGGCAGAGTATGCAGACTACTTTGTACCTCCTGATAACTACTATTTCAGATTTTTGTTTCAATTTGTATGGCCTACTGATGAAGGCTGTATAATATACTTGATATTCATGTCCAATTCCGATTTCAAATGGAATTACTGTTTTTTGTCCTATGGCAACATTTGCAAAAGCTAGAAGGATGGACTAACTTTTTCAAATTTGAGTGAAGTCTGTGTCACTACAGGCCCGGGACTGTACAGCGCAGTGGACGTTTACAGCTAGCCCTTTATTTGAATTGTGTGTTTGTTTGTGAGTTCTGTGTAATATGTCTTGTCCGTATATTTGTTTTTGTGTAAATTATGTGTGGTGCAGTCCCCCTGCTCTTACTATTAGTGAGAACTGGCTTGGCAAATTCTGTGTTTTTTCCCAAGCCAGGTTGTGATAAAATTGCAATTAAAAGAAATCTATTTTTAAATTAATTTCAAGATGAAACTTACTTGATTTCTGCGTTCGAATTCATCTTGATGTGCCGCTAAATGAGAGTTGGTGAAACAGAGGGAAGTGTTGTGTATTTTAAACCTGACAGACACGCCTCCTTTATTACCCTGTAAATATAAATCATACATCAATTTAATCAGAGAGAGACAGAGATGGGGTTTAACATCCACTCCACACAAACTGGGTCATTTTGGGACTGACAATAAGCAGGAAATCGAAAACCACACCAGTTGACTCAATGTCAGACCTTATGAAACAGTGTGCATTCGCTAACCATTCGTCCATCCAACACCCCAACATGCTTTATAAATGATAATATTTTTATTTTTTTTATCGCCATTATTATTTTATCTACCATTGAAACTTTGGTTCTGTCATCTAACCTCAAGTCATTTCTTACTGCTGTTGTACGGGGATTTTTAAATATCTATTACTCTCAGCTCTCTCCACTGGCATCATTGTTTGATCCAGCAGCTACACATGTCAACTGGCCTGTTTAGTCTTTGTTATCCTTTTAAGGGAGTGTCACCCCAACCCCTTTTCTATTAAATGTTAGATTATTAGATATATTGTCTGAAAAACGTTAATACAAGTGAAACAGATAAAGACAACGACTAGGTACTAACCATAAAACCCATGATGCCTGTAGCTACTGTATCAGAATCAACTAATGTCACGTAATCTGTGTATTTCTCCTGTATATAAACTAATAACATTACTCCTACTAGTCTCACAGACTTTACCTACAATAACAAAAATATACATCAATTAACAGCTTTAATATACATCAATTACCAGCTTTAATATACACCAAATACTGGCTTTAATATACATTAAACACTAGCTTTAATATACATTAAACACTAGCTTTAATATACACCAAATACAGTGCACTCTGTCACATCCGACATCGTACGGGATCGTTACAATATGTCGGATTATGCAGTCTCGGAATACCCAGTTTTCTCAAAACCGGAAATATTGTAACTTCAAAAACCAGAAGTATTATTATAATGTAGCTTCGAACATAGAACTTCCAATTACCAGAATGTTATTCCCTTTAATGATAAACCTTTCTGTACATTCAAAATTTATTACATTAATTTTTATTTCATTTAACATGCTTAGGCATTTTGAATAGGTCAAGTCTGTCGTTAATTTATCTTCTTCGCCGTCTTCCTAGTTGGTCGCACTCTTGTCTTTGCTTTAACGTGTACGTGTTCATTGATAATGGGCGTACTTGATTAACGTTCCAGAATTGAATTCTCCCAATCCCAAAAATAGCGACAATCGAGTGAACATGGGTACTTCGGGCTACAACGCATGCGTCGACTGGATCTCATCCAACCATGCAGCCGAAACCTGTTCGTCGTGTTTAATTACGTCACAATTCTACTCACATCACATCCGTCGTCGGGATTGACAGGGCTGAATTTTCCGCGTTACTCGATAGCAATTCTGTCAATTCGGGACGTTCCGGACTGTGAATCGAGCATCCCCAGGTCCTCGTCACACGGTTCGAAGAGATCCGTAGGGTGACCAAACTTATAGGTTATTCAGGTTCAATCGGCATGCGCAACGAATGTTTCCAACAGATGCTAGGAATATTTTTACGACTGTGAATTCAGGGTGAAATTCGTCGATATTCTTGAATATTTGTCACAACTGTCATACAGAGATTAAAATTATCAAAGTAATCAACAAAGACCCACGGTAGCGAGTTTTAATCTCACAGATAATTGATTGGTGATTGCTTGTTAATCTTTTGTGGCTTCACACCCATCCAGTTTTAATCTCATGGATAATTGATCGGTAAGTGTTTGCTTCACACCCACCGATTGAAGGCCGGATTATACAGTGTCGATTCAATGAAAATCGTATGACGGGACGGCTGATTGATGTCGTAATCCGGAACGTACAGAGGTCGAATTACCCAGAGATTTTTTGACTGAAGTATTAAGGAAATAAATCGGGACATGAAAATGGTGTCGGATGTAACAGAGTGCCGGAGTGATCAGAGGTCGGATGTGACAGAGTGCACTGTACTAGCATTAATATACACCTAAATACTAGCATTAATATACATCAAATACCAGTTTTAATATACATCAACTACCAGCTTAATATACATCAAATACTGGCTTTAATATACATCAAATAAATGTACTGGTTTCAAAATACAAACTGTAATGTACATCAAGTACTGGCAAAGATATACATCAAACACCAGCTTTAATACACATCAAAATTTCTTCAATTTTTCAGAGCTGGAAAAAAATTTTGTAGGCCTCTGTTTGTAAGAATGAATCTGATTTTCTGTCCTTTTAGAACAAGATTGTCCACATCAGTTCCACAGATGACATCCATGGAAATTGAAGGCCGAGAGATGAGGTTTAACGTCCACTTGACAGACACTAGGTCATTTCGGAACTAACATATGGTTTATTTTCAATTCAATAATTTGCTTGCGCGTAGGGGTCTTTAGCAGTGGGAGGAAACCGGAGGACCTAGAGCGACACAAATTAGGTCATATCGGGACTAACATATGGTTTAATTTCATTTCAATAATTCGCTTGCACGTAGGGGTCTTTACAGTGTGAGGAAACCGGAGGACCGGGAGAAAACCTATGAGGTTGGGCAGGCGACCCTACTCCTTGTCATGTACAATCGGGGAATCGAAACCACGCCAGTTGACTCAATGACAGACCTTATGAAACAGCACGCAGGTGTTAACCATTCGGCCATCCAACCCCCGAATTTGATGTGCAGTTGTCCAAGGAACAGGAATGACCACAAGAAGTAGACCAAAAACAAGATAATTAGCGTTGGTGGTCAAAAAATGTTTAAACTTGAACAAATTAAGCAATAATAAACACAAAAACATAATATGGAACACAATTACGATTTTTATTAAAGCGACATTTCATTGAGGGTTTTCCGTCTTCATTAGCCCAGTATAGGAGCAGAACAGTAGGACGTTAAACCCCATTTCATTTCATTTCTTATTGAGGGTTCTCTCAACATCTGTCAATTGCTAAATGCCGGTCAAATAAAATTAAGCAAAAGAAAAAATTACCCGTCTATATTTAGCTTTAGGATGAAGGAAATCACGAACTGCTTTCTGCCATTCTGCATCTTTAGTTGAATCGGTAAATATATACGCTTGATTACTGAGATCGAGTTCCTGAAATCTGAACAATAACAATTCTATAAGCAGGACTTAAATCGCTAATATTCGGAACCCTAGAAATTGATACAAATGGGTCGCAACTCATATAATAATGTAATATAAACTGATTTACATTCAATTGTTTTCGTTTTGACTCTAATTTCAAATTAGTTATGTTCGACGAAATTCGCCAGTCTATTCTATTCAAGTTTACACTGATAGTATTTATTGATCAGGCTCTCCAGATATGGCGGCACCGTTTGACATGACTTGTGGAATGTGTCTAGCCCCTTTTTTTTCGAGTACCTTGTTACAAATGGTGCTGAAACGCATTATGATACACGATTAGTGTAACAATGGTAAAATGTTTATTTTGTCTTAAATATTGGATATCTGAAGCCCATCTTTACCCGGTAAGATCATAACATCAATGTTCAGATAAGTTGACAAATAATTTGTGTTTTCAATGTGGAAGACTTTGGATGATAGCGAGTCAGAGACTTAGCTACTTTAAACCCTTGCATATCTTACCCTATGGCATAAATATCAGGAGGTTCTGCATCGTAACATAACCATTTAGTTAACGGTTCTGTTGGGGATTGACCATTTACATTCCACGTACCACAAAATATTCTGTCATAGAAAAAAAACAAATAGTTATTATGTATAAGAGCATGGAGAAAATGGATTGTAGTGCGGTTGTAGAACTTCAAATAAATAATGGAATCGGCAGAGAACAACCAAATATCATCACGTTTCTTGAGAATTATGTGTTTGAAATTTGCGCTGTGTTGTTATCTCCGTAACCATCAAATAATATCATTCATCTGTTATATAATATTTCATACATATACATCAGGACACCAGCCGCCATTTACATAAATGTTATTATTTGATGGACATAGAGATAACAACAGAGCGCAAATTTCAAAAGCATAATTCTCCATACTTAAATATATCAGATTCGTCGGTTCGCGAGAAACATGACGATATGTGCGCTAATCAGAAAATGTGTGCATGGATAAGGGTGAGAGACAAATGGGGTTTAACGTCCACTCGACACAAACTAGGTCATTTCGGGACTAACATATGGTTTAATTTTATTTCAATAATTCGCTTGTTTTTAGCAGTGGGAGGAAACCGCGGGGTACCCGGAAAAAACCCACGAGGTTGGACAGGCAACCCTACTCTTTGTCACGTATAACCAGGGATTCGAAACCACGCCAGTTGACTCAACGACAGACCTTATGATACAGCGCGCCCGTGCTAACCATTCGGACATCCACCACCCCCACGCTCCCCCCCCCCCCCCCGCATGGATTAGGGTACTGTTTTTTGATGAATTTACAGATGCATGTACACCCAGTTCCTAAAATACAGTTCTATATTTTGTTTCATTTTTTTTTTATACTTTCGATGACCTCTACTACATGAAGATCTGACCGGATGTAGTTGAAGGTCGTGTCAGAGTTCATAAGACCCTATGACATCAGACATTTGATTAACCAATCAGCATTGCTGTTTCTAGTGGCTTAGCCACAGTTCCATGCACCTCACACCAAAAACTCACTGTAACAGACTGTTTCATTGGCTAATCCTTCACATCATCCAGAACGCATAATATATAACAACTCATTCATATCCTAGTGTAGTAAAAACTATTTAAACGAAATTTTGAACTATAAAAAACGAAACGAAATAGTATCTGTGTTTTAATCCGACTGCTAGAAGCACATCCATGCACTTCTAGTTGGGTTTAACAGAAGCACTTATTAGGTCCTAGAATCCAAAGTACACACCCACACACCAAACCATGCACCTATACTCAAATCAAGCCAGGACAAATATGCACTGACAGAGTCTGGCACTGGTGCCTTATGCCCAGGCTTGACTCATAGGCGCATATAATGTAAAGGCAATTTGCTGAAAATTTCAGTCAAATCGATCCACCCTGAACCGAGAATTAAGCGGTTGAAAGTTTCGCCTTGCCTTGATCATCATTGATAAAGTCGGTACAACAAAAAATCATAGTCTCGATTATCCATTTAATCATTAATAAATCATGAAGGAAAGTTCTGCAGCAAATCGGTTCATAATCCAACAAATATCGCAGGCTAGCGATACCATCTAGAGTTGATTATGGTCTGGATAGGTTAATAAATATCTAATTAATAGTTTATATAATATTTCAGGCCTAAAGAAAGACCTACAATAGGCAGATTTAGCTCTTGCAAAATGTATGTTTAATAAAATGAACTTACTTTAATGGTGTAAGATTGGTGTATTCATCTTCCCGTTTTTTCATATAACCACGGACAAATTCTTCACGAACAGCGATAGGTTTATTACCAACTGGCATATTACTGATACCTAATTGTTGTTCTAGCACATCAACAGATTCACCGAAATCACTGGAAACAGAGAGAGAAATTGGGTTTAACTTCCACACAAACTAGGTCATTTCGGGACTAACATATGGTTCAGTTTTATTCCAATAATTTGCTTGACCATAGGGGTCTATTTCAATAATTTGGTTGAACGTTGGGGTCTTTAGCAGTGGGAGGAATACGGAGGACCCAAAGAAAACCCAACAGAGAGAGAGAGAGAGACAGAGAGAGAGAGAGAGAGAGTTTAATGTCCACTTGACACAAATTAGGTAATTTCAGGACTAACATATGGTTCAGTATTATTTCAATAATTCGCTTGAATGTAGGGGGTCTTTAGCAGTGGGAGGAAACCGAAGGAATCGAAACCAAGCCAGATGACTCAATGACAGACCTTATGATACAGTGTGCACAGGTTAACCCTTTGGCCATCCAACCCCCCCCAAAACCACTGGAATTAATATAAGTGAAATGAAATGTTAAGGGAAATCTAAATAATTGTAGAATAATCCATTTACCTATCTAGATTATCTAATGATTCTAGACTTTTAGACACATTAGACTTGGAAATCTTCAGAACATCATTAAAACTATCTTCAAAACCACTACTCTTTGATGCCACCATACCTGAAAAATAAACAAGAGAAGGTGAGAGAGAGAGAGAGGGGGGGGGGTTTAACGTCCACTCGACACAAACTAGGTCATTTCGGGACTAACATATGGTTTTTATTTTATTTCAATAATTCGCTTGCGCGTAGGGGTCTTTAGCCGTGGGAGGAAACCGGAGGACCCGGAGAAAACCCACGAGGTTGGACAGGCGACCCTACTCCTTGTCACGAACAAGAGAAGGTGTGAACAGCCAACACTAAGGTTGAATCTAGGACCGATGGGTTAGAGAGCAAGCACCATGCTCCATGAGCCACCAGAGAGAGAGAAATGGGGTTTAACGTCCACTCGACACAGACTAGGTAATTTCGGGACTAACATATGGTTTAATTTTATTTCAATGATCGCTTGGGCGTAGGAGTCTTTAGCAGTAGGAGGAAACAGGAGGACCCAGAGAAAACCCACAAGGTAGGACAGGCGAACCTACTCTTTGTCACGTACAACCGGGGAATTTTATTTCAATAAATCGCTTGCGCGTAGGTGTCTTTAGCAGTGGGAGAAAACTGGAGAACCCTAATAAAACTCATGAGGTTGGACAGGTGGCCCTACTCCTTGTGACGTACAACCTGGCAAATCGAAACCACGCCATTTGACTCAATGACAGACTGTATGATACAGCGCGCACATGCTTAACATTTGGCCATCCAACCCCAGTCCATGAGCCACCATGGCTACCAAGAGAAATGAAATAGGGTATAACATCCTACTTTTCTGCACCTACTTGGCTAATAAAATGGGGATACACCATACACAATCTGATTAAAATACAGATCTATATTTCGTTTCGTTTTTTTTATACTTTCAATGGCCTCCACTACATGAAGATCTGTGGCCGGTGTCAGGGGTCATACGAGTGGCTTTTGACCCTATGATGTCAGACATTGATTAATCAATCAGCGTTGAGTTTTCTAGTGGTTTACCCATGCCGAGAACTTGCTGTAACAGACCATTTCATTGCCTAATCCCTCACTTCAACCAGAATGCCAGTAATATAACAATTCTTCTAGATGATAGTGTAGTAAAGACAAGTAAAACGAAATTTTGAAGTATAAAAAAACGAAACGTATTAGGATCTGTGTTTTACTCAGATTGCACCAGGCATTGAGATATGAGGGACATTTTGCCACGATAGTAGTATTTCTGCCTCATCTTTCCTGTGGAAGTTTCTCGGCCAACAGCTGAGTTTGAACCCGGGACCACCTGGTAAGTTAGTGAGTCAGGGATATTGCTCAATAAGCCACGATGTCACCCAGGAAAAAGCATGTTTGATCACATGGAATTGATAAATATTATCTCAGATATTAAAGTAGTCATGCCTGTTATATTCTAATACATGAAACTGTTTCCAAGTAGTACCCTGCGTTTCTGGATTAACAATAACATGTATCACTGCAACCCAGGTATCATTTAATCTTGTGTATTGAGCATTAATTTCTTTAATATTCAGTCAAAATCAGAAGTTTGTTTAAAATCACCCTAAATCATCTTATTTGTACATGTGTCCAGTTTAAATCCCACTACTGCAGCCCTTCTATATGCCCCACCACAGCCCTCTATATTCCACCTCAACTCCTCTACATCCAACCACTGAGGTCCTCAATATAACACCTCAACATACCCTATAATATATCTCACCCATGATGTCCTCTATATCCCACCTTGACAGACCCTCTATATCCCACCTCAACAGACCCTCTATATCCCACCTCAACAGACCCTCTATATCCTGCCTTCATAGACCCTCTATATAACACCTCAACAGACCCTCTATATCCCACTAACCACTAGAAATGAACCAACCTGGAGATGAATGTCGATTGGTAGATTTATAAGGATCAAAGACATCCGTTTGAAATGGATTACCGGGTTTTCCTGTGTCTCGTTTCGACGACGTGGAGGGGAAGGATGTCATGTCTCTAGGTTGGAATGAGTTAAGCCACAGAAATTCTGACGGTTCGACTAATCCTGCGATTTGAGATTGCACTGAAATGAAAAGAAAATAACAAAATTAACAGAATTCAGAAAAAATGAAATATTCATAGACCCATTACCGAATTTCAAGGGGGAAAGGGTGACCGAATGGTTAGCATGTGTGCACTGTATCATAAGGTCGGTCATTGCGTCTGCTGCTGGGGTTTCGATTCCCTGATTGTGCGTGAGTAGGGTTGCCTGTACAACTTAATGGGTTTTCTCCGGGTTTTCTGCTAAAGACCCCTTGAAATTATTGAAATAAAATTGAAGAATTTGTTAGTCCCGAAATGACCTAGTTTGTATTGAGTGGATGTTAAACCCCATCTCTCAAAATGACCTAGTTTGTGTCAAGTGGATATTAAACACCATATCTCTGTCTCCCAAATTTCAAACAATGAGATAGCATTTCAATATCCACTGTTCTGTCCATAATTTCAACATACATGTACTGCTGGCATACAGGTATTGTGGTATGTTTTCTAAAAAGTTGACCACATGAGGACAGGTAAACACATTTTATAACTGGTAATCACAACTTGCCAAAACATTACATTTACAATCAAAATGTATAGGTGGCATTATACAAAGATTATCTTTTAAAGATGCAGTATTTGAGAGAGATTCTGCTACCCTTGGTTCTTGATCCAATCCGAATTGGCACCCTATCCATGCCTGTCACCACAGCACCGAAACCCTCACTTGGAAAGAAACAAGGGTTTTCTTGATCTAACATCATGATCAGACCAGTGTTGCTATTTCAAACATTTTTCCCCGGTTGTACGTGGCAAGGAGTAGGGTTGCCTGTCCAACCTCGTGGGTTTTCTCCGGGTCCTCCGGTTTCCTCCCACTGCTAAAGACCCCTACGCGCAAGTGAATTATGTAAATAAAATTAAACCATATGTTAGTCCCGGAATGACCTAGATTGTGTCGAGTGGACGTTAAACCCCATTTCTCTCTCTCTCTCTCTCAAACATTTTCTTGTTGGACATTTTTACCGAAAATAAAGGGGCATAACTCTTATTATCATTTAAGCAGGTGGGATAAGACCACATTCAGTTATCTCACCTGTTCAATTAATATGATAAATTACAAATAATCCACTTACAATCTTTGGCTCTCTTCAAATGACTCAAGAAGTCTCTCGTAGAATCTTTATGTGGTATCTTTAACAATGTTTCATCATCACCAGTCTTCAAACTTAATGCAAATTCTACAAATACAATAAAAAAAAATCAAATAAATTCTGTCGACAGAAATCAACTCGTTTATCTTAAAGGTTACTGGAAAAGCTTCAAATTTTTTTTTAAATAATGCAAATAATTATGTCAACATGTCCTTTGATAAGTATAACATGAACCCGAATGTATTACCTGCAACAGGTAAATTTCAATGTTAGTAATTTCCACCGTTCTCTGTGAGTAGTCGTAACTTTCCGTCAATAAACAATTTGTGACGTCATTTAAGTCCTTCTGCTCATGTTCTAGTCTATATTTCTATGATTAGAAGGACTAAAATGGCGTCTCGGATTGTTTATTGACGGAAAGTTACGACTACCACAGAGAACGGCGAAAGTTACTAACCTTGAAATTTACCTGTTGCAGGTAATATTGACAATCAACTTTGTGTTATACTTATGGAAACAATCACTTACATTATTTAAAAAATTTATGAAGCTTTTTCAGTGATCTTTATACTTAAAGAGGTTAGATAAAGAGATGACAGTTCTCGCTACATGTATATTGCTTGACCAATGCACACATTAGATCACTCAAACATCCTAAACACAACCATAAAACTTGTCAGTTCAGTAAAAAAAAAAAAAAAAAAAAAATACGGATTATAAAACAAATGAAAACAAAAAACATCTGATTTTTATCAGATTGAGGCTCATTGAGTCAACTGGCGTGGTTTCGAATCCCCAGTTGTACGTGACAAGGAGTAGGGTCGTCTGTCCAACCTCGTGGGTTTCCTCTGGGTCCTTCGGTTTCCTCACACTGCTAAAGACCCCTATGCGCAAGCGAATTATTGAAATAAAATTAAACCATATGTTAGTCCCGAAATGACCTAGTTTGTGTCAAGTGGAGTTAAACCCTCTCTCCCTCCCTCCCTCTCCCTCTCCCTCTCTCTCCCTCTCTCAGATTGAGGCTACCTTAACAAAAGGGCATATTATAAAAGGTAATTATTTTATTTACCTTTGCGTAAATTATTTTTACTAGGTGTCTCTGAAAATAAAAAAACAGAAAATAAATTATTTGATATAAGTATAAATAAAAAAGCTCAATCTTAAAAATACATTTTGCAAGAGCTAAATCTGCCTATTGCAGGTCTTTCTTTAGGCCTGAAATGTTATCTAAATTATTAATTAGATATTAATTAACTTATCCGTACCATAATCAACTCTCCATGTCATCGCTAGCCTGTGATATTTACTGGATTAGGATCCTATTTGCTGCTCAACTTTCATTCATGATTAAATCATGAAACGGATAATCAAGACTATGTTTTTTATCGTACCAACTTTAGTAATGATGATCGAGGCTAGGACGAAAATTCAATCGCTAAATTCTCGGTGGATGAATTTGACTTGAAATTTTCAGCAAATAGCCTTTACATTATCTAGTTTTTAACTATTACAGTGAGAACTGCCATCTCTTTATCTTATCTCCTTATCTTACATGTATCTTTAAATCTTTGGATGTATGGTCATCTATCTACGTATATACTGTACCTACATGTACTGAATCGTCCACTCGACACAGACTAGGTCATTTCGGGACTAACATATGGTTCAATTTTATTTCTATAATTCGCTTGCGCGTAGGGATCTTTAGCAGTGGGAGGAAACCGGAGGACCCGGAGAAAACCCACGAGGTTGAATCGTACAAACCTCTACAATTCTCAAATACATAGTTTGAATACTCTTATTCTTAAATTGGTTGACTATCAAAATAATGTTGCTTACAGTTAGTGATGTCACACAATGGGGAAAAATGATAAGAATATTGCAACTACCAGAGCATAAACTCTTAGGATTTCAAAATTAGTCTGAATAAAAGCTGATTAGTTTCAACAAACTGTTCTTTCTTACGTGGACTTATTTCCCCATTAAAACAAACTTGCAACAAAAAATTTCATCCTATTAAAAGGGCCATTATGGGAGATTAGATAAAGAGGTGGTAGTTCTCAATATAATAATCAAAAATAGATAATAAAAACAAAATATGCTAAAAATTTTAGTCAAATTGCTTCATTCTGAACCGAGATGTTAGCGATTGAATTTTAGGCTTGTCTCAGTTGTCATTACTTACATTGGTACGATTATAAACAATGTCTTGTTTATCCTTTTTAACATTAAACCATCCATCACAAAATGTATTCAAATCCAGTGAAAATAGGACACATAAGATAGCATCAAAAGTTGATTATGGTCATGTAATACTAATAGTTTATATAACATTTCAGGCCTAAAGAAAGACCTGCAATAGGCAGATTTAGCTCTTGAATAATGTATGTTTTATATGATTAAATGAAATGAAATGGGGGTTTAACGTCCTACTGTTCTGCTCCGCCATATAGTGTACAATGAGGGACATTTTGCCCGGCCTAAGTCTTATATCAACTTCCAACTGCCAAGAGATCTTTTACATGCAGGCCAATTTGTACACGAGACCTCAGTTTTCTATCCCATCCTAACGACTAGACAGCTGTCCTTGTCAGGCCCCCCATCCTGCATCATCGACAAGGGGGAACCATGCCGGAATATGATGAATATGATTGAATGCTGATTATTCTTGCTTACATAGACTTATTTCTTAACAACCTGAATAATTAACAGAACACAGTTTTTATGGGAAACAATCACTGGTTTATTCTAAAAGCACGACGTTTCGACAAGTATCCTCTTATCGTTATCAAGCACAACCTGAATGATTAACCCGAATAATTATCAAGGCTGGACATAAGGCATATGTCACAGACAATATGCAACACAAATTATCACACAACGTATATATTATAATACATGTACATGTACATAAGCTGTATGATAACCCGTGTTGGACAATGTCCGTAACATGTGAGAGTCTGACAAGGACGACTGTCTAGTCGTTCGGATGGGACGAAAAAACAACGTCCCGTGTACACATTGGCGTGCACGTAAAAGATCCCTTGACAGTTAGAAATCGATATAAGAGTAGGCCATAGTGCCGCTGTCCGCGCAAAATTTCACTCATAGCACACTGTATGGCGCATGCCCGTCTTCATTAGCCCAGTTCGGAGCAAAACAGTAAACCACATTTCATTTCATTTCTGTAACATGTGCCTTACATCTCATGTCCAGACTTGATAATGTTAAAGAAAATTCCAAATATAAAAAACCTCAAGTAGAAAATAGCATAATTCTGTGAAACCACAGATCTAGTAATTTCTTCCTATTAATTATTAGGTTCATAAAAAAAATGAAATAAAAAAAACCTGTGTCGTCGTAGAAAAAAGTTGTGTATAACTAGTAATTTCTTCCTAATACATGTACATGTAATAATTTAGATTAAACATTCAAAATTAAAAATAAAAAACTTGTGTGTTAATAAACAAAGATATAATTAACAAAAAGATTATGACTAACAGTCACATATAATAACAATGAAATAAAAACAATGAAACCATAAACCTTTAACCACTACAGTTATAATCTTTCAGAGGTATTTAATAACTGGATAGAGCAATAAACTATAACACATACTTATGAAAAGAGAGAGAGAAATGGGGCTTAACGTCCACTCGACACAAACTAGGTCATTTCGGGAAAAACATATGGTTTATAATTTTATTTCAATAATTCGCTTGCGCGTAGGGGTCTTTAGCAGTGGGAGGAAACCGGAGGACCCGGAGAAAACCCACGAGGTTGGACAGGCGACCCCACTCCTTGTCACGTACAACCGGGGATTCGAAACCACGCCAGTCGACTCAATGACAGACCTTATGATACAGCGCGCGCACGCTAACCACTCAGCCATCCAACACACACACCCCCCCCACACATACTTATGGAAAAACGGTTATTTATTTATTTAGGCTACATGTACATGTTGAATAATTTCTCTCAGCGTTTTCAATCTTTTAGGGAAATTCAGTAACTGGATAGAGCAATCAAATATAATGCATACTCATGGAAAAACAGCTACTAATTTATTTGGGCTACATGTTGAATAATATTTTCTCAACGTTTTCAATTTTTTAGAGGTATTTAGTACCGGTAACTGGGTAGAGAAATAAACTGTGATGCATACTTATGAAAAAACAGCTACTTTTTTATTTGGGCTCATGTTGAATAATATTCTCTCAACATTATCAATCTACGTTTCGTTGAGGGTTCGTTCTCTCAACGTTTTCAAGCAAATGCTCAACGAAATGTCGCTTTAAATAAAATAGTAATTGTGTTCCCTATTATGTTTTTGTGTTTATTGCTAAATGCGGCTCAAAGAAGGTTAGATAATAATAATAATAATTATATTTTTAATCTTTTAGAGGCATTTAGTAACTGGATAGAGCAATAAACTATAACACATACTTATGGAAGAACATTTACTGATCTATTTGGGCGACGTTTTGAAGAGTATTCTCTCAACGTTTTCAAGCTAACACAGTAATACAAAAATGTATATATTTTCCTCAAGTTTTTGTCACTCAAATAAACAAGTAGCTGTTATATACTCATGCATTATAGTGTATAACTACAGTTATATGTTGATATACATGTTTATCTTTCTTATTGTCATAGTTACATGTACCTGTACAGGTATCTATTCAGGCAGGTGTCCAGAGGGTGGGGGGTCCAGGTGGTTGAAACCACTCACTCCCAGGTCCCTCCCCAACTGCAGCTGAGAATATTTTTTCTCTCCTACATTCATGGAAATTATGCCGTTTTGGCAGAAATATTGTCTCCAACCTTCTGATTTGATCAAATTCGCAGGTAGTTTCCCCACCCCACCCCTCTGACCTAACGCCAAACTTGACCTTGGCTCTACCCTGAACCCTGAATGCTCAAATTCCTGGACAGACAATAATTAAAACCTACTTCAAAACCATTACCATTGTTAAATTAAAAGATTAATATCTACTTTCAATTATTATTTTTCTTTCTTAATTGGAGCCACGGTGGCTAGCTGGTTAAGACGCTGGCTCGCTAGCCTGGAGGTCGCATGTTCGATCCCTGCACTCGCCGAGAAATTTCATCAGGATTTTCCGCTGTGGTTTCCCTTTGTCAGTGGTGCAGAATGGAGGACCTGACAAGTACAGCTGTCTAGTCCTTCGGATGATACGAAAAACCGAGGTCCTGTGTATATATATTAGAATGCACGTAAAAGATCCCTTGGCAGTTGGAATTCAATATAACAGTAGGCGATAATGCCACTGCCTGGGCAAAATTTCCCTTATAGAACACTGTATGGCGTATGGCCGTCTTCATTAGCCCAGTATAAGAGCAGAACAGTAGGACGTTAAACCCCATTTTCATTTCTTTCTTAATTGTTTATGTTCTTCTATACAAACAAATATACATGAAGTTATACATGTAGTCCCACACTCCCTACGATAACCTCAACAAAATCAAAATTTCATTTATCAACAAAATTAATTTAAATGTGTGTGTTTTTGATTAATACGAATTGTAGGTAACCCACTAGAAACATCAACGATGATTGGTTAATCAAATGTTTGATGTCATAGGGTCAAAAGCCGCTCACTTGACCTCTGCCACGATCTTCCACTACAACCAGTCAGGTCTTGATGTAGTGGAGACCATCGAAAGTATTAAAAATCGATACGAAATATAGATGTGTATTTTAATCAGATTGTTATTTACATACAGTACGGGGAGGGGGGGGGGGGTACCTGACAAGGAGTAGGCTTGCTTGTCCAATCTCGTGGGTTTATGAAGCTTTTTCAGTGATCTTTATACTTAAATAAATGAAATGAAATGAAATGGGGTTTAACGTCCTACTGTTCTGCTCCTAAACTGGGCTAATGAAGACGGGCATACGCCATACAGTGTGCTATGAGGGAAATTTTGCCCGGGCAGCGGCACTATCGCCTACTCTTATATCGAATTCCAACTGCCAAGGGATCTTTTACGTGCATTCCAATGTATACACGGGACCTCAGTTTTTCGTCTCATCCGAAGGACTAGACAGCTGTCCTTGTCAGGCTCTCCGTTCTGCACCACTGACAAGGGGAAACCACGGCGGAAAATCGGGATGAACTTTCTCGGCCAATGCAGGGATCGAACACCCGACCTCCAGGCTAGCGAGCCAGCGCCTTAACCACCTAGCCACCGTGGCTCCCTTTATACTTAAAGAGGTTAGATAAAGAGGTGACAGTTCTCGCTACATGTATATTGCTTGGCCAATGCAGGGATTGAACATGGAACCTCCAGTTTAACGAGCCAACACTTTACTCACTTAGCCACCGCGGCTCTCTCTTATGCACACATTAGATCACTCAAACATCCTAAACACAACCATAAAACTTGTCAGTTCGGTAAAAAAAAAAAAAAAAAAATACGGATTATAAAACAAATGAAAACAAAAAACATCTGATTTTTATCAGATTGAGGCTCATTGAGTCAACTGTCGTGGTTTCGAAACTCCAGTTGTACGTGACAAGGAGTAGGGTCGTCTGTCCAACCTCGTGGGTTTCTGCGGGTCCTCCGGTTTCCTCCTATTTCTAAAGACCCCTAAGCGCAAGCAAATTATTGAACTAAAATTGAACCAAATGTTAGTCTCTCTCTCTCTCTATCTCTCTCTCACATGTACATGTAATAACACAGTATAATGGATTTGTTACCATGTGAAACAGGAAGTGGGCCTTCACGGAAAATAATTGTGTTTGAACATATATAAGCATAATTGATAAGGAAATGAAATGAAATGGGGTTTGACTTCCTACATGTACTTGGTTAATGAAATTATACAGATCACAATCTTTATTAGAATTTAATCACTGGTTTTATTCTAAAAGCATGAGGTTTCGACAAGTATCATTTGTGCTTGATAACATTACGGGAATACTTACATGTATCGAAGCGTTGTGCTTTTAGAATAAACCCAGTGATTGATACCAAATAAAAAATTTGTTTATGTATAAAGAGTTCCTCAATCACTAAATGTCACTAAAAGAGAGAGAGAGAGAGAGGGTTTAACATTCACTTGACACAAACTAGATCATTTCGGGACTAACATATGGTTCAATTTAATTTCAATAATTCGCTTGCACGTATATGTTTTAGCAGTGAGAGGAAACCAGAACACCCAGAGGGAACTGACGAGGTTGAACAAGCGACCTTACTCCTTGTCGCGACCTTACTCCTTGTCACGTACAATCGAGGAATCAAAACCACACCAGTTGACTCAATGATACAACATGCACACGCTAACCATTCGGCCATCCAACTGGGGGAGGGAGGGGGGGGGAGGCACTTAAAGATTTAGAGATTAATGAAAATGGAATTGATAAGGAAGTACATGTATATTATGTGTACATGTATGTAAATCTAAAGCCTAGCTCACAATCTGGGCCTCTAGATCGTCCACAAGCAATTGTGGACGCCGGCCGGCCGGCCGGACAGACGGACAGGGGCGACGACAATATACGACCACATTTCAATGTGGGCGTATAAAAAACGAAACAAATTAGGATCTGTGTTTTAATCAGATAGGCTAGGGTTATGCGCATCCTTACAACAGCAGTGGATATAGACTTTTATAGACTGCAACAAGTTAACAAATATCAAACAAGTTATCCAGAGTCAAATAATAAAATAATTCCATTTACCTGTTTTATATTTTAAAGAAGAATCAACAGGAATGATTTTTTCAACAGCAAGATCAGAGGTGGAAAAACACGGGATTCTAGTACTTGTAAATGAAAATATCCTGGAGAAAGAAAAATATTTTTTTTTAAAATTAATTGCCATGGAGTAGTGACATACAATGTATTTCAATAATATTGAGACTAAAACAAGAGAGAGAGAGAGAGAGAGAGAGAGAGGGAGGGAGGGTGAGAGAGAGATACTTTAACTCCACTGACACAAACCTGGTAATTTCGGGATTAATGCATGGTTCAATTTTAATAACTTGCTTGCGCCTTGCGCGTTGGTGTCTTTAGCAGTGGGAGGAAATCAAAGGACCCGGAGAAAACCTATGAGAGAAATGGGGTTGTACGTCCACTTGACACAAACTATGTTATTCTGAGATACAAACATATGGTTCAATTTTATTTCAATAATTAGCTTGTGCGTAGCAGTCTTTAGACTTGGGAAGAAACCGGAGGACCTGGAGAAAACCCACAAGGTTTGACCGGCATGTGGGTTGTGCTGTGACTCGATACATGTACATGTATCATCACATCCAGCTGTGTACTCATAATGTGTCAGCAGTAGTTTGGAAAACATATGGTTGGTCGACTTTTTCCAGGCACAGGGGTTAGAGTTAGGGTTATCGGCATTCGGTTTGTACTTAACACAGTATCGGTATCATCAAGTACCGACCAATATAATATTTTACAATAATATATTTGCACTTACGCATGATCATCCTGATATTGTACTAAAGCGACGTACTTTTGGCAGGCACAGGGGTTAGAGTTACGAGTTATCGGCATTCGGTTTATACTTAACACAGTATCGGTATCATCAAGTACCGACCAATATAATATTTTACAATAATATATTTGTACTTACGCATGATCATCCTGATATTGTATTAAAGCGACGTATCTTGGGGTTTTCACCCAATCAACAAGAAGATCACAATAAACACAGTAAACTGTCGTTAAGGAAAAGTTTATATACATGTATCGCATAATTTTATCTTTTAATAAAATCTAAGAGGTTTTAATATCTTCTGCACCAACTGGGCAAATGAGCAAATGTCGTGAGGGAAATGAAATGAAATTATTATTATTGTTCGATTTATATAGCGCTTCATTACACATGAGTGTTTCTAAGTGCATTCACAACAAAACATTTCAAAAACATTTTTGAAATAAATACGTTTTTAAGTTAGTCGTAAAGTTGTGGATAGAAGAGGACTGTCGAAGAGTTTTTGGAAGATCATTCCACATTTTGGCGGCTTTAACGTCCTACTGTTGTGTCGTGAAGGAAATTATTCTACCATTTAGGTAGTTGAAATGACATGAAATGAGGTGTAACGTCTTACTTTTCTGCACCGACTGGGCTAAGGGAGATGGGCATATACACCACATAAGGTGTTATGAGGAATATTTTAACTTGACAGTGGGAGCCACAGTGGCTAAGTGGGTAAGACGCTGGTTCGCTAGCCTGAAGGTCACGTGTTCGGTCCCTGCATTGGCCGAGAAAGTTCATTGGGATTATGCGACATGATTTAGCCTTGTCAGCGGTGACAAGAACAGTTGTCTAGTTGTTTGGATGGGACGAAAAACCAAGGTCTTGTGTACAAATTTTTGGCGTGCACGTAAAAGATCAATTGGCAGTTGTAATTACTTGAAATTCAATAAAAGAATAGGCCATAGTGCCACTGCCCGGGCAAAATTTTCCTCAAGTACTCTGTATGGCGTATGCCCGTCTTTTTATCCCAGTTGGAGCAGAACAGTAAGACCTTAAACCCCATTTATTGACAGTGGCACTACAGCCTACTCTTAATCAAGATTTCCAATTACTAAAGGATTCTTAACATGCAACCCATGGTAAACACGTGACCATAAAACACAGGCTATTCCTCGTCAAGTTAAATAGAACATACACAGGTAGACGTGTACATGTAGCATAAATCCATAAATTTTTACAACCATAAAATAAGGTCAAGGATATGATAACACATTTTGCACGTTTGTCAACCTTTGAAATCTTCTTCTGTACAATTGTTGTGGGGTCTATCACGGTTTCAGTGACCGTCTCCTCCAGTGGCTCATAAAACATTTTGATAATTTTATATAAATAAAATCTTACAGCAACTACAGCTATCCTAGTTTCAGTAACACAATTGACACTCGTTTATCCTGGGATGTATCTAAATCCAGGCTTATTACTGACATAATATGATAGGCCTATCATTTCTTTAATTAACAAACAAAAGCAGACCAAATAAACACGCTAAACTATTTCTGTCCTAGATTGATCACTGTTGATTAGATTCAAATAACAGGTATGTGATGTCCAGCTGTAAGTATGTTACATTTCAAAAGTAAATCATTATGTCTTCGAGCAATAAATAAAACTAGGTGTGGCACAAGTTCATTGATTATTCACCCGCTAGCTATGATACAATCTTGTTTGCTTTCCTCCTCCGCAAAGACGGAGCCGGAGGTCCTTCACTCCTTGTCCACGCGACTATGTCACTATTCGTTTGCCGTTTTCCACGCTGTTTTATCGGAATATCTAATAAATACTTTAAAAAATGGATATTCAAAAATTATTCTCGATTTCTCATGTAATTTCTTACAAGCAATTTTCTATTTTTTTCACTGAAGACGTAATCAATTAAAAATTTACAACATTTTAATTAATTTTTAGAAAACCGGAAGTTGACATTCTAACATTATAGTAGAGCTACGCTATTTATTTACGTATGTATGGAAATAGTTATTTTCTGTCTTTTTAAAATATAAATCGTCAATGTAAACATAAAACCGTGAAAAGCTCACAAAAGGTAATAGTTTTGTTTTTGATTTGCATGTTTTCACAGTTGTAGATAGTTTCGTATCTGTTGAGTCGCTATACCATGGTAACGAGGTCAAATCAGGGGATAGAATAACGGATCTTGCACGAAAGATATTACACGCTTATCTCGTGCTAGGAATACCTGTGACTTTGTTTACGGTAAGGACCTATATTTTATTAGTTTATTAATATAAAAAAAAAAACCATCGATTTAAGTCGAGCCATGAATTGTTTTAATAGATCTAAACAGAGATGGAGGTCTAGGTGGAAATAATAAAAGTTAAACAATTACAATGAATGGCCTTGACAAAGATTGGAATGTTTACAAACACCGGTTAATAATAAGTAATAAACGCATGTCATATATATTAGAAAAATGCCCTGCATAATTTTTGACGAACCGATGTTATGTCTCATTCTAATTATTGAGAATATTGTTTTTAATTAGAAAATATTTTGATCTAACCGAGCCTAGAGATAACTTATTCCTAGACCGGCCGTACATCAAATATGCGTTTTAATCCTGCGATTGTTAATAATTAAACGTGCCATTTACATGTGTAGTTTTGTAGTTTATGATTTGGATTTTTCTTTAGTTGTGAAATCTACTTTAGTTTTTGTAGATCCAATTTATTATCTTGTACTTGTAGGCCTAATCTTTTATATTCTAATTCTATGTCGTTTAAATTATTTTTCATGATCTCATAATTTTTAATTGGTCTTTAATTTGCTTCATTTATTCTCCGTCATTTCCTTTCCAAAATTGAAATAGACAATTATTTTAGTGATGCAGGACGGAGGGCCTGACAAGGACAGCTGTCTAGTCTTTCGGATGAGACGGAAAACCGAGGTCCCGTGTATAAATTGGAATGCACGTAAAAGATCCCTTGGCAGTTGGAATTCGATATAAGAGTAGGCGACAGTGCCGCTGCCCGGGCAAAATGTCCCTCATAGCACATTATATGGCGTATGCCCGTCTTCATTAGCCCAGTATAGGAGCAGAACAGTAGGACGTTAAACCCCATTTCATTTCCGAAATTGAAATAGAGAATTATTTTAATATTTAGGCGTACCAAGAAGATAAACTATCGGTGTTTATGGCTACCAATTAGGGTAGCCTATTATTATTCTGGTTATGAAATTGTTTATCGTAGTTTTCGAGATAACGAAACACAAAGAATCACATCAGTTTTATTATGACACTTTTGTTTGAGTGTCAGTTTATTCAATGTGGGGGTATAATTAGTTTATGACAGATAGAAATTTGATAGCGGTGTTATTCATTTATCTGCTGAGACATTATAGTAGACGGTATTAAGTAAATAGTTCGTATATAGACCCTTTTTTATTTGCGGGCTTGATGACACATTTTTGCCATGATAATAAAAAGTTTAGACGAAAACGTTTACTTGAGAAATGAAATGAAATGGGGTTTAAAACGTTCTGTTTTTCTGTTCCAAACAAGCTCCAAGCAAGCCCCTTCCCTCACCAGCCTATTTTTTTCCGATGCCAAGAGTCTATAGAGGTCTATTCAATATAGCGTGATCATTGGTTTAATTGTGTGGCAAATATTTCGAATGACAACCCACCAAATCGCGCGGTTTTTAATTATTTGTGATGATCGTATTCTGTATTACAGATCTACACTCAATCGCGGGGCAATTTTGAACGTTGACAAAGATTGGAATGTTTACAAACCCCGGTTAATAATAAGTAATAAACGCATGTCATATATATTAGAAAAATGCCCTGCATAATTTTTGACGAACCCGTGTTATGTCTCATTCTAATTATTGAGAATATTGTTTTTAATTAGAAAATATTTTGATCTAACCGAGCCTAGAGATAACTTATTCATAGACCGGCCGTACATCAAATATGCGTTTTAATTCTGCTATTGTTAATAATTAAAAGTGCCATTTACATGTGTTGTAGAGTCGTATAAAAGAATGCTTTCTTTAAAACAATGACCATTTTTGTAGTTTATGATTTGGATTTTTCTTTTGTTGTGAAATCTATACTTTTTGCCGATCCAGTTTATTATCTTATAGGATTTATCTTTTATATTCTTATTCTATGTCGTTTAAATTATTTTTCATCTCTTCTTTAATTTGCTTCATTTATTCTTCGTCATTTCCTTTTCGAAATTGAAATAGACAATTATTTTAATATTTAGGCGTACCAAGAAGATAAACTATCGGTGTTTACATGTATGGCTACCAATTAGGGTAGCCTATTATTATTCTGGTTATGAAATTGTTTATCGTAGTTTTCGAGATAACGAAACACAAAGTCACTTCATTTTTATTATGACACTTTTGTTTGAGTGTCAGTTTATTCAATGTGGGGGTAAAATTAGTTTATGACAGATAGAAATTTGATAGCGGTGTTATTCATTTATCTGCTGAGACATTAGTAGACGGTATTAAGTAAATAGTCCGTATATAGACCCTTTTTTATTTGCGGGCTTGATGACACATTTTTGCCATGATAATAAAAAGTTTAGACGAAAACGTTTACTTGAGAAATGAAATGAAATGGGGTTTAAAACGTTCTACTTTTTTGTTCCAAACAAGCTTTAAGCAAGCCCCCCCCCCCCCCCAACCAGCCCAATTTTTTCCGATGCCAAGAGCCTATAGAGGTCTATTCAGTGTATATATAGCGTGATTATTGGTTTAAGTGTGTGGCGAATATTTCGAATGACAACCCACCAAATCGCGCGGTTTTTAATTATTTGTGATTGTCAGGGGCGGATCTAGGAATTTTGAAAAGGGGGGCGCCGCAAAATGAGGGCACTGACCTCAGAGACGGGGCACGCCGCTGCGAGGGGGGGGGGTCCCCCAAGAAAATTATCCGTCATTTCCTTGCATCTGTAGCCATTCCAAGAGCTATTTGGCTGATATTTTCGTCTAAGTAAACGTTCGGAAATCGTTGAAAAAGAGCCTTAAAATCGAGCTAAAAAGCCAGTTGAACATGCGACTCGAAAATTGTCAGGGTGAGCGAGGCATTATGATGGGTAAAAAGACGAATGTAAGCCTTGTAACTGGTACTGTGTACTGTCCACACATGAAACAATGCTACATCAAGTTGCACTCATGCGCGTCGGTGATGGGCATGAGTGTATACGCCGCCGATTCCACAAGATGCTATCATTGATGTCTGTCTATAGTCACTCTATAGGATTAGGGCACCGGCAGTTTTGACCATTTACTGAGCCTCGCCATCCACCCCTGCCGATAAAACCTAGCGCCTCCACTGACCCTCAGAAACGAAACGGTTCCTAGTATCCATGACAATAATCTAATAAATATAATCCCCTGTATTTTATATCAACCAATAATCAAACAAATCCTTTAACAATGTTCAATTGATTGCATCACTTTTATTACGGTGTAGGCTATATATCAAGATTAGGATGATATCATGGATCTCCAGGCCATGCCGCGCTGCTTTCTTTTACTCTTTCATATGTTAACCCACTTAATCCTAATCCACACTAATCTCGACCATTCAGATCGAATAAGCCAATTGTTATTAGGAATTTGCGAAGGAGTCACAATGTCTGAAGTCGGTGAATAACCGATTGAGATAGAACACGCTTTTTCATAAAAATGAACAATAGAAAATCGGGACTTCATGTACACACATTAATTTATGTGTTTATCTGTATGAATTAGAAATGAAATGAAATGAGGTTTAACGTCCTACTAGGCGATAGTGCCGCTGCCCGGGCAAAATTTCCCTCATAGCACACTGTATGGCCTATGCCCGTCTTCATTAGCCCAGTTCGGAGCAGAACAGTAGGACGTTAAACCCCATTTCATTTCATTTCTTTTCATTTGTTCTACTCCTATACTGGGCTAATGAAGACGGGCGTCGGGCCTACGCCATACAGTGTGCTATGAGGGAAATTTTTCCCGGGCAGCGGCACTATCGCCTACTCTTATATCGAATTCCAACTGCCAGGGGATCTTTTACGTGCATTCCAATATATACACGGGACCTCGGTTTTTCGTCTAGTAGGGAATGAATGTAGTTACTTTAGTAACGTATACTTATCGGCTCTAGCCGAAGCTAGGCCCCGAGTTTACAAAGCATTCTCAGACTTAAGAATTTACTCAACTTTCAATCACTTGTTCATAAGAAATACCTTTGATCCAGAAACACAAAACTTTGCACATAGTTTCCTATTGATGTATTTGATACATTAAAACAACAACAGTTTTATAAAGGGCTATATTTTAGTTAAAATAAGACGAACAATTTTGAGTAAATTCTTAACTTAAGTCTGAGAATGCTTTGTGAACTCGGGGGCCTGCAGAGCCAATAAGAATCCGTTACTAAAGTAACTAGGAGGGAATGGTACACTAACGCCCATAGGCGTACGAGCTGGGGGGGTGGGCTTGGGGGCGGCCGCCCCCCCCCCCCTCCATTTTGGGCACCAAATGCTGAGAAAATTTGGGCACACAGTTGTATAAAAAAATATTGTGTTCTTGAATGTGTCCAATTTAACAGCGAATTTATTATTATTATGTAACATACTGAGAACCTAACTACATTTTGTGGGCACCAACCACCACCGCCCCCCAGTCAAAATTTTCCCCGTACGCCTATGCTAACGCCTGTACTTTAGATCAAAATATCTGCCATAGAGTAATGGGCGCGGGATTGGGGGGGGGGGGCGTTAGAACCTCCCTCTCTCTCTCTCTCTCTCTCTCTCTCAGTGAATTAGGTATTTCCAAGGGTCAAATAGCTATGAAGAGAAATTATAAAAATAAACGGCGTTAGGTAACGTGTATTCAGTGTCAGTCGTATCAACAATGTTAACTATTCACCGATTTGCTTAGTCCTGATATTA